AAGATAGATATAGATGTCTATGGGCCACAGCAACCACTTACTATCACGTGGACTGCGTGCTCGTTTAACAACCTTATTCTGTAAAAATAAAATAAGTGTAATACTACCTAAGAAAATTTGATACAACACAATCTTATACGTAATGAGCTCATGGTTAAATCAACACTGTCGGCTGTCTGCTGGCCGGGCGTATGTACCTAACGGTGTAACGCCTTACGGAAGGGAAAGAGCGGGGAGATGCTCTTGTCTTTACCGAGTCAAAACAGCAATTAGATACCTAAATCTGTAGCCGAGCGCGAGCGCCAAACGCCAAACGCACCGAATGTTTGCAAATTCAACACTCCCTTTCGAATGTGTGCATGCGTAATAAAATAGTAGGAGCTACATATTATGAATGACAATCAGTTTAAATAATGCATTTCCACACATTTTGAATATAAAAGATAAAAGGGACAAAATTTTTAAGTTTTTTTCTTTTTTTTTTTTCACCATTCATTTATATTACCTATTCGTAACCTTCTTTGCAAATTTCACCGTATATTGCAAGATAACCCTGTATATGGGGCGTATACAACTTTTGTAAGCCTACTTTTATTCGTATACATAGCATCCTAGATTTTACCGACGCCCTGGCATAACTACTCAGTCTTGTCTAGTCCAGATCCTCTATATCGTTTTATTAGTTAACATTTAATGAAAATTTATTTCACCCAAATTATTTAAATATTTCCAATATTTTAACTTTTTAAATTCAGAATATAATAAAATAAAACTGAAGTAAATATTTTATATTTTATTATCTACGATATTAAAAACTACAATAAAGACAAAAAAAACTAAATCTAGTAATTTAATTATCAAACAGTTCCACTCCCCGCGGTATCGTGCCAAGAACGCTGGCTGCGTTTCCCCGCTGAATGGCTATACTTAGCCTTTGAGCAAGAAAAGAGCCAGCTCCCTATCACTAGCAGCAACGACCAGCCGTGGATGGAGTTCCTTTAGAAACTTCACCGCACGTGGATCCCACGGACCGTTAGTCTCTACAGCAAATATGTAGTCATCTCTCAGAGACTCATATTTGCGCCACTTACTCAGTTCAGCTGCGTCTGATGCCGCCCCGGCTCTAAACGAGGTAACCCTGAGATGAGAGGCCACCAAAGTGTCTACGAAAGTAGCATCCCACACTAGGGCTTTACCTCTCTCCCAAGGGACCAATGTCATACCGTCGGTTCTCTTGCCATCTTCTCTAAATATTCTACAAGGCTCTAGACCGAGGGAACATTTGTAGAGGCAAGAGCTCTTCGGATGACATCGTTCAAAGAACCTGTGCCGTGAAAACCTACCAGCACTTTTCTTACATGAAAGTCCGTGGAGCCCGAACTTGTCGACGCTGCTACCACAGGGGCACTGATGGGGTTGACAAATCGCCGCTCCTAGTCGGATTCCTACGGCGATGCACAAGCTTTCCCCATCAAGCAATGTGCCGATACTACTTGATAGTAAAGCGTGTAACCAGTGACTAGATTCATTAGTCGAAACAGCTAGAAGGTGTGCCTTATCTTGTTCACTAAGAAGATTATGAAACAAATCTTTCGACACCTTCTGTACCAACGGAATATCCCACTGTTGTTGTTGGTTAACTTCCAGTGGAACATTTTCGCCGACACAGAGCGCTCGCCATGTCTGCCCTGCCTCCGTATCAAAGCGCAGGTTTACTTTATTATTTAAAATCATGTTACATAAATCACTGACATTATGCAGGGCAGCAAGAAAAGCATGCAACGCAACGCTAGAAAGATTTCTCACACCAATACCACCTAATTTTATAGGTAAAGTAGCTTGAGTTCAGGCTGGTGTATTTAAAGTTAAATTTAGAATTTTTTCTATAGTTATTTTAAGATTATTATCAATATCTTTTAAAATATCCGGACATTTCTAGACTGGACTCGAACGGAGTAAGTATGTAAATCTAGATACAAGGAGACAATATTTTAAAATATTAACGTCGTATTCTTCAATAAAATTGTCAATAGACGTGTAATTGAAACTTCCGTCATGTCATCGACAATGCCATTGAAGAATACGACGCTACCAACTACCCAGTAGTTTTTAAATTCCCTAAGCACGCTGAAATAAAGCACTTGAAATTACTTTAAAAGTGGGAGTCCCCATAATCTTGCTCAGAAATTTATTTCCACCTAACAACATTGCAAAAAATTTTCATTTAAGCCGAGATTTTAACTTTTTAACTATTTATTAATAAATTCCTTAAATTTTATATTGGTAAGCAATTCATTAACTTTTAAATAATTAATGGACAGAATTATCCTATTGAATAAGTGTTGAAAAAGGTTTTAACAAGCACCAAAAATCGACGTGATAATTAAATTGGCATTGCGCTTCGTTACACCAAGATTAAACTTTCTGAATTTAATTCAGTTTTATTTTATTATATTCTGAATTTAAAAAGTTAAAATGTTGGAAATATTTAAATAATTTGGGTGAAATAAATTTTCATTAAATGTTAACTAATAAAACGATATAGAGGATCGGGACTAGACAAGACTGAGTAGTTATGCCAGGGCATCAGTAAAATCTAGGATACTATGTTTACGAATAAAAGTGGGCTTAAAAAAGTTGTTAGTCCTGAGGGTTAACGCCCCGTATACAGGATTTTTTTGCAATATACGGCGAAATTTGCAGAGGAGGTTCAGAATAGGCAATATAAGCGAAGGGGTTAAAAAAAAGAAAAAAAAGCTCAAACTTAAATATATATACTGTAGAGAATAAGGGTAAAAAAATTAAAGGAAATACGAACAAATGAAGGTAGAATGCCAATCTCCCACTTCTTTTAGCAGTATAGAGTATCGCACAGTCGACTAAGAACGATCATTTGGTAATTCTACGAGTTTCATTGTCGTTACTATGCCAGTTGGGGTAGTCTAGTTCTAGTATAAGCAAGGAAGATCGTGTTGCTGAGAGGCTGCCCTGTGTTACATTGAGATGGGTTAGTGTTGCTGTTGGTTTGCATACTTTGGTGTTATCATGTTATTGGGTCCTGATAGTAAGCTAGGTTTGTTACCGAGTAGTTTGAATAGTATGAGGATTTTTACGTTTGTAAAAGACTACGACGCGACTCACGTATCATATTATCGCCTTTGTTTTTATGTTGTCGTAATGAAGTCTGTTGTCCTATTTACGACATTGGCGAATCATTAAATTGTAGCGTTAAAGATCACAGTGAAATGTTTTAAGCTAAAAGCTTTTATAGCAAGTACTTTTATAAATTCTTAGTGTATCAAGATATGTTTATATATGTTGAAAGAAATGTTTAAGGCAACTAGATGAGTTATAGTTTTGCATTTAGTGAAAACTTAACTTGTTCGAGATTTTGATAGTTCCTGCGAAATATTATTTATATGGTTTACATTTTAAAGTTCGTATTGTTTAAGCGAATTATCAAAAAAAAAGGTTTAATTTTAACGTGCTATGAAATGAAAGAAATAAGTAGACTTCTGGTATTCTAATGTGTTGATAAGTGTTACAGTTTACTCCAAATAGTCGACGGCTGATTGGGCATGGTCAGGTGCGCCCAATCCCTGGTAAGATTGAGGCTACATCCCTGTAGCCTGCGACTTCTCGGTGGATCTAATGGCAGGATGGCTCAAGCGGCCGCCGAGCACATTGGCCGCGCCAAAGCACCATGTGTTCGGCGGCCGCTAAATGGACGTCTGATGCTTGCTCAGCTTTCGTTGCGAGTGGTGAGCCATGTCACGCGGATATCTATCCGGCCGAGACGACTTAATGACGATTGCAATTTGTGTGATGTCGTTTCCAGTGTGTTATATTTCACACAGTTGCCTTTTTATTTTTGTAATGTGTGATATTTTCATACAGTTGTTTTTTATACTTGCAATGTGTGTAGTGTGTAGTTACCTCCTTCCCTTTGGGATATGTGGTAGGATCAGTCTCTCCACATAGTTGCCATTTTTCCAATCTGTGAAATTATTTGTGAGTGCCATAACACACAGTTGCCGTTTCTTAAGAGAATCTGTGGTGAACTTTGAAGACAGAAGCCCGGAATTCTATGGTTCGCAATACATTCATCTTCATTTATTTTAATTTTGCGAAGCAGATTATATATTTGTTTCATGCACCTGAAATCCTTTACATCTGTTTCAATCTGAAATTACTTTGGATACCTATTGTGCGAGACCTGTGTTGGATGAACTTAAGTGCACGCTTGTGCATCTGACGTGTTTGTTTCCATGTCTTTTGCTTTTACTGTTGTGTACTCGTACTTTTTTTTTAATTTTTCGTTAAAACTTCCTTTATTAAAATCCAATATAATAAAGATTGCAGGTACTAGTTAATGCTAACTTTGTGCCTATGTCGACAGCTACTGTAAGGTATGCAAATTTGGTGCCTATGCCTACAATGTTGAAGTCTGGACAGCTCGCTAATGCGAGTGCAGCGCGGTGGTTTGCTGGCGCTGGTGCGGCGTAGCGCCTCGCTGATGCTGGTGATAGTTTCTAAAATCAGAAGTGGTATAGTTTCAAACATCAGAAGTGGAATAGTTTTCTTACACATAAGAGGATGTATATAATGAGATAAATAATAAATATCCTCATATGTGGATATAATATAATATAGATAAATATATACCTCCTATATACTATAGGAGTGGGTAAAGATGGAATGATAAGTAGTATTGGACATCCACGTTGAATGTCCAAAACTTTTTTCTAACCTTTTGCAATTCATCGGAGGCAACACCACTGATAAAGCACCCTCGCTGGTTATATCAAAAATTTCATGACAAAAAAGGTGTTTTTCGTGATTAACGGGCATGTTTTATTTTGAATGCGGCACTTTTCATTCTTGTCCAATAATAAAAAGTATAATTTAGCCCTTTCCCTGTCCCATGAATCATACGTAGGCGGTCCCATAATGAATTGGCCTAACTATGAACCAATGAAGGAAATGAAACGAAACCAATTTTATTTTTCAATATAATCACCATGAATACTAACACACTTCTGACATCTGTGAATCAACATCTCTAAACCTTTATAAAAATAATCACATTTTTTATCCTCAAAATGACTGAAGACGGCCGCCTGCAACTCTTCATCGCTTGAAAATTTTCTTCCTCTTAAGTCCCGCTTTAAATTTGGAAATAAATAATAGTCGGACGGGGCCATGTCTGGACTGTAAGGTGGATGTTGAACTTCTGTGAACCCGCATTGACGAACTGCATCCTTCGAAACACCAGCGGTATGAACAGGGGCGTTGTCATGGAGCAACAGGACACCTTTAGACAGCTTGCCTCTTCGTTTTTCCTTTATCTTGTCTCGTAATTTATATATTAAAGAAGCATAATATTCGCCGTTCACGACTGTATTACGTTCTTTAAAATCCACCATCAAAATGCCTTGAAAATCCCAAAATATTGTGCACATCAGTTTTTTAGTCGATTGTTGCACCTTTGCCTTTCTAGGGGGCTTTTCACCCTTATAACGCCATTCCATTGACTCGCGCTTGCTTTGTGGATCATAATACAAGATCATAGTTTCATCACCAGTCACTAGCCGCTCGATCACAGTCTTTGGATTTTCGCCACAAAGATCCAAAAACTCCGAAGCGCAGCGCACTCTTTCCTGTCTCTGTACCGCTGAAAGAAGTTTCGGTACCCATCTTGCACTCACTTTTTTCATGTGAAGATGTTCATGGATCGCGCGATGAACGGTACTCTTAGAGAGCCCAAGCCTTGCTGCAATTTCTCTAATCTTCAAACGGCGGTCACTCAGAACCTCCTCTTCGATAAGAGCAATCGTTTCAGGAGTGAGCACTTCCACAGGTCGACCGTCGTGGCCAAAGTCTTCGACGGTTTCTCTCCCGAGGCGAAACTCTTTCACCCAATTTTTCACTGTGCTATAGGAGGGGGCAGACTCCTTATACACGCCATCCAATCGTTCTTTTATTTGGGCAGGGGATAAACCTTCTTTAAACAGAAACTTTATAACACTTCGATACTCAGTTTTCGACATTTTGAAAAAATACGCGACTCTCGTTATTCAAATGCCTGTTAAACTAAGACTAAGCATTTCATGTCGATGCATGTTTCTTATATTAAGTGCACGATAAACGTACTATTTAATGCAACACAACATGTAGCGACATGTCGCGTTGAACTATATCAGGCCAGTTCATTATGGGACCGCCTGGTATATTATGAACATTTCGATTGTTTAACTGTAGTGTCTATTTCACAGAAAGGGAAGCTGTTAAAATTAGCAGTTGTCCATTTTTACTGTTAAACACTTTAAACAATTTTGATGGCGTGTGATTAAAAAAAAACAAAAAAATTAAAGAATTAAACATTTTAACGACTGTGTTTGTAATCTGAATATAAATTGCCCTATTAAAGTAGAATTGAGCAAATACCACAATAATATTTGACAACCATTTTAATACTTTTTCGCCGTAGCAGTAGCACTGAATTCGAGCGTAACACGGCCTACGGCTGGCTTGAATTCAAATGATTATTTCAGAATTATAGGGATTACATAGTTTATTTTGAATATTAATAAAACAAATGTCATTACAATTTTAGTATTTATTCAATACATACTACATTATATTCATTGATGCTTTAACGTGTGTTGTGTTAAGCAAATTATTATTAGGTCATTTTTAATGCAGAACCAACACTATGCGATGCGTGAACTATTATGATAAATAGTTGCAATTTGTATTTATAATTTTGTTTTCTTCTTTTTGATTAATGAGTTAAAACATTCCATAACTCTGCCCAGTTTTTGGTATCGCTTCACGTAATTTAGTGGCTCACAAATCCGTAATCCAAAATCCGTAAAAATAAATAAACAACTTCGGTTATCCAATTTGATCCAGATCCAGCTATCGGCACTTGAGTCTGGCTTCGCGAATTGAATTGTAAGGTATTTGCGACCAACGATGTCTGCTGTTCTACGTAAGATGTGAGAAAGCTATCTTAGGTGCCCGACTCTCTACTCGTATATTTCTTCTTATACATCGCATGGACCCTTAGGCTGGCACGGATTGTCACAAAGAGTATCCTTCTTTATCTTCACAACTTCACTAAAATTCCCTGCTCACATTGGCCAGTCTCTCTGTCATACCTAAACCTATAACTTTTTGTACGTGGTACAGTCACGCTGCAGCTAGGTATATTGTGATTGTAGCACGAACGTATTGGTTTGACCAGAGTGGAACCATGCTCTCATAGAATATCAACGTAAAATAGCAGCCTAATGCTGCTGTTTCTGATAGTTTATAGAGAACGGGAGATCCTTTTAAATGGAAACGGGGCAATCCATTTTTGTATAAAAAAAATATAAATAGATTTATTGATCCGGTTATTTGGCTGGACTGGTCAAGATTTTATATTATATATTATATTATATTACAATAAATATTTATTTACATAACATAATATACAATATTTTATTTTTTATTATATACAATATTAATAACTAGAATAAAAAAAAATAACTAAAACTAGTAATTTAATAATCAAACAGCCCTGCACCCCGCGGTATCATGCCAAGAACGCCGGCTGCGTTTCCCCGCTGAATGGCTATACTTAGCCTTTGTGCGAGAAGAGAGCTCTCTTAACACCAGCAGCAACGACCAGTCGCGGATGGAGTTTCTTTATTAACTTCACCGCACGTGGACGCCACGGACCGATAGTCTCTACAGCATATGGCACAAATATGTAGTCATCTCTCAGAGACTCATATTTGCGCCACTTACTCAGTTCAGCTGCCTCTGATGCCGCCCTGGCTCTAAACAGGTACCCCTGAAATGAGAAGCCGCCAGAGTGTCTACGTAAGTAGCATCCCTCATTAGGGCTTTAACTCTCTCCCAAGGGACCAATGTCATACCGGCGGGTCTCTTGCCATCGTCTCTAAATATTCCACAAGGCTCTAAAACCGAGGGAACATTTATAGAGGCAAGAGCCTTTGGGATGACATCGTTCAAAGGACCATGCCGTGAAAACCTACCAACACTTTTATTTATTTACTAGTTGTGCCCCGCGACTTCGCCCGCGTGGAATTTACTACGATTTCTTGGATATCTATTTTTTTGCGCGGAACCCTAATTTTGTTTTTGAGTAATGTTACCATCGTATAAGTATTGACATTAATATTTATACGATACTAACGTCACTCAATTGTTTTGCCTTCCCGCAACCCCTCCACTATCACTTAAACTTTATGGCATGGTATTAAAGTTCGAATTGACTTTTAAGTATTTTTACGAAGCTTTTGTATGGGAATATAGAAAAGTGTTGTTTTTAGACTTTTTCAGGCAGTTTTTCAAATTTTTCTCTCCGTAAGAACCATATAAATAAAATATATATAATTCATATACATATATAAATAAATACATACAATTATACATATATATCTCAATATATATATATATATATATATATATATATATATATATATATATATATAGCTATAAACATATAAAATAAGTTGACTCAACTTTGAAGGCTAACGGATATGCTCATATAGTTTTCTTTAAAAAACTACTTTTCTTCCATGAAAGTCCGTGGAGCCCAAACTTGTCGACGCTGCTACCACAGGGGCACTGATAGGGTTGACAAATCGCCGCTCCTAGTCGGATTCCTACGGCGATGCGCAAGCTTTCCCCATCAAGTAATCTGCCGAGATTACTTGATGGTACAGCGTATAAGTGACTAGATTCCTTAGTCGAAACAGCTAGAAGGCGTGCCTTATCTTGGTCACTAAGGACATTATGAAACAAATCTTTCTGCACCTTCTGTATCAACGGAATATCCCACTGTTTTTATTGGTTAATTTCCAGTAGTATAAATTATAATATAATATATAATTTCTATAGTAGCAGTGCGACTTTGAAATAGCCCATTAAACCATTTCGTAATATAGATATTGTAAATGGCCACTAAGGGAAAGGGCAGAAAGATCTTATGGCATCACGATCGAAGATCGAGATATCAAGGATTCGATAACATCACCGATAAAAGAAAATCCTGTACAGAGTAGTAAAAAAAGTCACAATCATTGTTATCATGTTTTTAGCGATTTATTCCACGATGTTTTAAGTTTGGTACAAATTGCCACGTAATATGCACTGCTATATAATAACATGGTTCAGACATTAAAAATAATATAAAGACTTTTAACTAAGAATTGTGAAATTTGTATTCATCGACTTCTTTCCGTTGAAGAGATTTTGATCAGATCGTCACTCTATATAATCCCGCTCGCCCAATACTGTTCTTGCTAAATACACGGCTCAAATTCAACTGTGGACTTGTATGATTTTTTTTACTATTTTATGCTAGTGCTTGACTACTATCCCACTTGATAGTAAGTGATGATACAAACAAAGATGCTAAAGCACACTGACTTAGCTTAGTAAAAATCTATTTACTCTTGCCTTGAAGACATCACTGGCATCTTCCGCATTGAATGTTGAATACGAAATAATTTAAAATGAAAAATTTTGTACAGCCGACTTCAATATGAGTTATTAAGAATAACTCAAAAACTATTGGTCTGACCTTGATCAAATTCACATGGGACCACACGAGAAGTACCAGCTTTCAAATAAAAAATGAATCATCCAAATCGGTTCACCCTGTAAAAAGTTATGAGGTAACACATTAAAAAAAAACATACAGTCGAACTGAGTACCGTCTCCTTTTTGGAAGTCGGCAGAAAAGGGAAATATTTAATAAGTAGCATTATTCAACATAATTAACACATATTCATAATATTATTAACTCCTACTTAAAATATGCTTAAACATTTAACAAGTCCTTGTCCCAAATGCAGGCCAGTAAACATCAATGTCACCAATTTCATCATAACCGCCTCTCACAAGCCACTGCTGAACATAGACCTCCCCAAAGAGACATGGTCCTGGCCCTGCATCCATCGACTTCTTGTAAGTTTTTCCAGGCCGCCTTACACTCCGATCGGGAAAAGTTTTCTAGAGGCTGCCACTCTAGATCCCTTTTCCACCTCCGTTGTTGGTTCTTAGATCCAAATGTTTGGCCCATTGTCACTCCACGTTACTGATCCGTTGGGTTAACTTGGTTACACTGCTTTTACTGCGGGCATTCTTATTACGGATTCTGTTACGGACTCACATTCCAAGCATAGCTCTCTCCAGCCTTTTCCTTTTCTTTGGTCTAATGATTAAGATAATTCATAATAGGATAATTATAAATATTTTAATGGCACAAATATTATTTAGTAATAAATTATTACTTGTAACTTACACGTACTATTACTATATATTATACACATAACATGTTGTGCATGCATGCTTTCAAATCAGGCTCATTAGTTAGTGCTCTACAGTCTGATCAGGGGCTGTTGTTACCTAGGTTTTTTTTATAGAAGAGGGAGTAAACAAGCATGCCGCTCACCTCATGGTAAGTGATTACCGCCGCCTATGAATACCTGCAATACCAGGGGATTTGCAGATGCGTTGCCGGCCTTTTAAAAAGGAGAATACTCTTTTCTTGAAGGTCCCTTAATTTGAATTCATGATCCGATATTTTATCAAGATGAAATAAATAACAATAAAAACTATAAAATAAAATATTGATCATTCCTCGGTTTATATATATTTAAAAATCTTTCCGGAGTACATAAAGAAAACTAGATGTGTTTGCATTCCTGCCAGAAGGAAGAAACAGGCAAGAAAGTGATACAAACCCAGACTACGTGGGTTTTTGACGTGGTAGAGCCATGCTACAGCTATATTTCTGGTATAGTTGTAACACGAATGGGTCGGCTCGACCGGGGAAGGACCACGCTCTCACAGAATACCAGCGTCAAATAGCAGATTAACACTGCTTTGTTTCGTATGGTGAGTGTAGAGAACCGGAAACCCTTTTTACTGGTAAAGAGGCATTCCATCTTAGTCCTCACGAGTGACAACGCATCTACATTTTGATTCCTAATCGAGGATAAATGTAGATGTCTATGGGCCACAGCAA